GGTGGATGATAAGAGTTTGCACAGGGGTAGGTGTCTGACTCACACATGCAAACAATGGCAGGTGGATGATCAAAGTGTAAGTGGGGGTAGCTGGGTGGCACACACATCCAAGCCACAGCAGGTAGATGACCAGAGAATGAGCAGGGGTCGGTGTCTGACACACACATCCAAACAATGGCAGGTAGATGATTAGAGGTCTTGTGCTCAATGCTAGGATTCCCTGAGTCATGGGAAAATAGGGGATAGTGGATAACCTCTAGGGTAAAGAGGAAGGAAAGCAAAAACTAGGGTGAGGGCCCACAGAACCAAGCCATTCCTGGGGATTTACCTCTAGGCAACACTTGCTGTTTGGGACCCAAAAGTTAGGACATCACTGGAAGGTAAAGTTGGCATTTTCAGTTCCTGTATCATCCTGCGTCAGAGATGATCTGATTGTCCTCACCTGGGTCCAGATCCAATCCTTGGCTAACAGCACAAGATGTGCAGTTTTTGATGACGAAACGGCAGCCAGTGCAAGATGGTGATTATTCAGAGCAAATTTGAAATTCTGAAACCAAGAGGGATGTGTGGGTCAGGTCATGTGACCGTGTCTATGGCAGGTCTGGCATGTGAACCAGAGGCCTCTGCCCTGCCAGAAAGAGAGTTCTCACTCTCTATAGCAAGTATAGTTTGGGCTTGTTTTCAGGTGTAGACTTGGGGACACAGCTAGACTTGCCCAGCAATTTTAGCCCCAGGCCTTCATTCTTCATCCTGATTCTGGTTCTACTTTTCAGTGCCATCTGTGTTCTCATGCCCTTCAACCCAGAGCCCACTCCAGAGCCCACCCCATGGCCCTAGACTTAGCAAAGCTGTTGTAGTTTCCATTCCCAGCTATGGCTGCATCCTTTTTTATCCTCCAGTACAATCTCATTTGTACTCAAGACAGAGTCTCACTGTGTAGCCTTGGCTGTCCTGGAACTCGATGTATAAAGTAGGCTGTCCTCAAACTTAGAGATACACTCTTGCCTCTGCCTCCTAAGTGCTAGAATTAAAGGTGTGAGCCACCACACATGGTTCTACTCTTTATACTCAGGGACCTGTCAAGTGTTTCTGACCTAGTGCAGGCTTCACGTCCCACTTTACTGTCAGTCACAGCAGTGTGATTTAGGAAAGAGGGAGGATGGCCACACATCCAAATTTTTTCACTTTGGATTAGGAGCCTTAGTAGATGATTTCTTTATTTCTTTGACTATTTGTGAGGAAGGACTTCTTGGCTCTTGGCAAATAATCTATATTTTTTTGACAGTTAGTTGGGAACCCACTGGCATGTCTAGCTTTTACCTGCCCAAGATGGAAGGTAGACTCACTGTTTAAGTGAGGCTGTGTTCCACAGATCCAGGCTTAAGGTACCAGATCATTCCTGTGCCTCTGCCAACCCTGAGCTCATGGTGGTAGGGGTCTCCATATTAGCTTCCTCCCTTGATGTTGTACTTGCCCAGATGTGAATGTTTAGGGGAAAGTCCTTTTCTCTGTTTTCCAAAAAGAGATTAAGATACTTATTCAGTTTTCAAAAGGTAGGCTAGATCTGATAACTTGCAGTTGAATAAATTTTTATCTTTAGGTAACAAAGATAATTGGAAAGGTTTTCTTAAAGGTAAAGATTATAAGACCAAAGGTTTAGCCTTGCCTTATTTCTTGCTAGTCTGTGATGACCTTTGAATGACCTCTGAGCCTCAGTTTAAACATCTGGAAAATGTGGCTAGAAATACTGCCTTTGCCTCCTTTTCCTGGGTGTCCAAAGATAGCAAGAAATAAGCACTTTGTGGCTTCAGTGTAACTGAGTGGTAGAGAACTCGCCTAGCATGAGTGAGGGCCTGAGTTACTGTTCATAAGGGTCAGCACTGTTGCAGCAATCCAACTCCTGTAGACGTGCTAAGGCAGGAGCTGGGGCTCAGTGGTAAAGTGTGATCTGTGCTGTGGGGTGTTGGCTTAGGGTGTACTTCCTGTGCAACTGTGGGGTGTTGGCTAGGGTGTACTTCCTGTACAGCCATGGGGTTGTTGGCTAGGGTGTACTTCCTGTGCAGGTGTGGGTTGATGGCTAGGGAGTCCTTCCTGTGCTAGCGACAAGTGCCAACTTAGCTATCCCATGGCTAGCTCAAAGGCCTTATTTCTTGGCCTTTCTGCTCTTTTTAAACATGTAATTAATACCCTTGCTTACTATCTCATACATCCCATTCTTTCTGTATTTTTTTTAACAGTCCTGGATTACTTATTCTTTACATTAACATGTCTTAAGAATTCTGCCTATTCATATACCCAGAAGAAGCACATTCATATAACAAGGACATCTGTTCAACCATATTCATAGCAGCATTATTTGTAATAGCCAGAAACTGGAAGCAGCCTAGATGCCCCTCAACTGAAGAATGGATAAAGAAAATGTGGTACATTTACACAATGGAGTACTACTCAGCAGAAAAAAACAATGGAATCTTGAAAATGGATGGAACTCGAAGAAACCATTCTGAGCAAGGTAACCCAATCACAAAACGACAAACATGTTATGTACTCACTCATATGTGGACCTGCTTTATGATACATAGTAGTGACCGTGCTTTATCAGAGCTGTTTTTAATGATGTTGCTCAGAATGGTTTCCTTCCACGTGATGATTGAGAAGCTAATTTAAAAAAAATGGTGCCAGGTACCACAAGAGTAACAGAACTGTGCTGTTTTCTGGGATTTTGTTTTTTACTTTTTTTTTTTAATGGAGTGTGCTGGATGTCTCTACAATTTTGTTCAAATGACTGCAGAACCTGAAAAAGCTGTTGCTGCTATTGATGCATAACATACTGCTATTATTGGTCTTTTATATAAATACAAATATATAATATATATACATAAAAAAGAATTCTGCCTATTTCACAAGGCACACATTGACTCACGGTCTATATTTAACACTTCTGAGTTTAAATGTCAGCTCATATAGTTACATTTGTAGGTTTCTCTTGATCCATTTATTCTCTTACCCTTTTATAATATAATTACACATTCAAAAATAACAAAACAAAAATGTATTGAATGTTCTATTAGGAAGAGTCTTTGAGATTTACAGAGCACGTCACACAAAACACTATAAAAAGGTGCTTTAGAGGCCCGCAAAGAGGAGTAGCTCTTTTGAATGTTTACACTTTATTTTTGGGCTTATCGTAACTTCAGTCAAATAAAAAATTGTAAAAATGTAGACTAAAGGACATTAGGCCCTGTTCTCACGAGGAGACCAGCCATAACTCTGTCCCAGGCCACTTGACCTGGGTGGGCAGAAAACAACCATGAACCTGCCACATGCCCATGGTGCCAGGCCGTAGGGCACCATTATGGTGAGTGAGTATATGGTGGGGAAACGGGAGAGAGAGGCAACATGTGCTGCGGAGAGAGGTGGGTATGAAGAAGTGAGGGCCGTGAGGGGTGGGCTGAGGTGGGTGGCCTGCTTGCCACCTGAAGCCACTGGAATGCCCGGGCCTGGGCTGCTATCAAGGGCCAAGTCTGGGTATGTGTCCCTGCCTGTGTTAATGTTGGTGGCTCCTTTTCCAATGACAGCAGTGAGGATAGGGCTGTACAGAGCCGGCCCCGCCCCTCACTGGCTGTAGCACTAAGGAGACCTGGCCTTGCTCCTCACCAACTGCAGCCCTTGGGAGAGTGGGCCTTGCACCTTGCCTGAGCACCACAGTAGAGTTGACCCTGTTGGCGGGGAGGAGGGCACGCAGATGAGCCGGCCCTGAAGGTATGAGAGTGGGAAAGCTAGCCCCATTATCTGCCTGTCATTCAGACATGGCTTGGGTGAGGGAGAGATGTGCGCCCTTGCCTCCTACCGCTCTCAGCCTACTGCAGGTAGAAAAGCTGATCCCAGCTTCACAAGAGCGGGAGAGCTGATTCTGCCCTTCCCTGGCTGCAGCTCATGGGAGAGCGGGTCCTGCGCTTCACCTGAACAGCACACTAGAGCTGACCCTGTTGGTGGGGGTGTAGGTGAGCCGGCCCTGAGGCTGTGAGAACAGGATAGCTGAATCCGTTCCCACCTTGTATGCCATGTGGTGGCTTGGGCGAGGGAGCTGGCCTCGGGGACACGAGAGCGGGAGAGCTGGTCCTGTCCTTTACCAACTGCAGCACTCAGGATAGCCGGCCCTGTATCTCATCTGGGCAGAACAGTAGAGCTGGTCCTGGTGGTGCAGGTGAGCTGGTCCCGGGGCGGGGGTGAGGAGATATGAGACCAGGAGAACTGGCTCTATTTCTTGGCTGGCTGTTGCGTTCGGTGAGCTAGCCAGGGTAGTACTGGAGAGCTCACCCTAGTGGTGAGGATGAGGGAAAGCTGGCAGGCTGACTAACCCAGCTATTACCCAGGCCCAGAACTAGGGCTATGAGTTAGCCCATCTCAACCTCTACCTCATGGGTGAACTGTTGGAGCATGTGAAGGGGTCAGGCCTGCAGATCCAAAGTTGCAGGATCTCCACGACACAGGACAACAACAGTATATCCAAGAGGAGACCTAGTGAGGGCCCAGTATCAAGAGGGTGTAGCAGAGGCTAAAGACCTCTCACCAGACCAATGACTCAATGTAAGGAACACTTACAAGGTGTATGGACTAAAGGGTGTATGTGTGGGACCCACTGTGTCACACTACAGCTTCTATGCTGAGATTTTGGTTTGTTTTTGTTTTTATTTTGAATTTTATTTTGAGGGGAAGGTTGCAAAGGCAGAGGGCAGATACAAAGAGATGGGGAGATGAACGGGGTCTGGATACATGATGTGAAATCCACAAAGAATCAATAAAAAGATTTCCTTGAAAAAAGCATAGACTGAAAGAAGCCTACTAGGGGATGTTTATTCAGTGTATGAAGTGTTGTTTCACTTTTCAAAGGATTCTCCACCTCACGTCCTTGCTACTCATTGAACCTGATATAGTTTAGAGCAATTATAATTATGTGGGTGATCTCAGGCAACTGTCATAAGTGAGGTTACTGTTGCTTGCTTGGGCAGCACACACATTAAAACTAGAATGATACAGAGAAGATTAGCATGGCCCCTGTTCAAGGATAAAGTGAAGTAACTGCTACTCGTGTTAACTGTCTTAACTCATAGACAGCGCTTGAAAAAGAAAAAAGCTCACAAAGGGGCAAAACAAATCCGGGTAAGAGGTTATCAATAGAATACCAGTTGACGAGCTGAGGAGGAGGGCTGGAGAGAGGCCTCAGGAGTTAAGAGCATGCACAGCCCGTGCAGAGGACCTGAGTTCAGTCCCAGCAACC